GTAAAATTTGTTCTGGATTACTCGTTAATTTATTTTCCCATACCATACATACCTGTATTAATTTTAGTGGTATTGTGCTTACTTAAACTTACCTTATCGATTTATTTTTCGCCAGTGAGCATATTCTAAAAATACGTTGTTATAAATTTAAAAATAAAATTTCTTCTGAAAATATGCTCTTAAATCATTTTAATTTTCGTGTTTTCCCCAGAACAGCCGAACAGGTGTAAGCTAATATAAAAACAAATTAAAACACTCTTTCCATTGAATAAACTCTTTGATCAATGACTTTATAAATTCTTTTTGATCATCGAAATGTCAACAACATCGTCAAGAATACGACGACATTAAATATCAGCTACTCTAACATTTCAGTATTGATTCCATAACAGCTGCACACAAGTTGCTTTTAAGAGAAACATAGTTATTTCTTTTAGCTTATAATAGACGATTACATTGTTTGAATTTCAGTAGCTTTCGCTTCATACAAAAATTAGATTCCAATTTCGCTTCACAGAACGCAATACACATTAGTACACCTCCATCATTTGTATTCTCGTCCCAATTGCTGAGGGTGTGCTTGTGTTCGAAGCTGAAGCACGTTTTCAGCACTGCATTATTTCAGCCCCAGTGATAGTGCGCATGCTAAATCCCGACGTAGTAAATATCAGGGTGGTTTTCAGGAAAATCGTAAAGCCTCAGTGGCGTACCACCGCAAAAGTGCATATATGCTTTTTACTTCCCGAGCGTAGGCAAAGAAACTATTGTAACTGAGTCATGACCTATGGAGTACCAAAATTTGGTCCGTCTGTCGGTCTGTCTATCTGTCCGCAGTCCGTGTAGATTTTTGTTAGACAGATAAATTCCGATCGATTGTTGTCAAATTTTATGTGTATTATGAATATCATGTTGATGGTAAAACGTTAACTAAATTTTATCTAATCGTTCCCACCAGAGTGACAATGTTATTTCAAAAGTGTACATAGTAAATGGTTTTAAATAGTACAATATAACATACTCTTGTACGTGTAGTTTACGAATACGGGTTGAGTTTTTATCCAAGATCTCTGCAAAACCGAATGTTTTGAAATTTTGCAGACGTTTCAAAGTTATCATAAACACTAAATTTTTAATCAAAATAGATCTGTTTATCCCGTCTCCCAAAAATGGATGACGTCATTACAAAATTTTGCCTAATACATCTACCGAAAATTTGAGTCTATTGTATACTTGTGATTTATATTTTTAGAATACAGGTGACTTAAAAAAATTAATGGATTAAATCGGGAACTACAAAATCGAATACTTTGAAATCTTGCAGACCTTTTAAAGTTATCGTAAGCATAGTAAATTTTTGACCAAAATATATTTATTTACCCCTTCCCCCAAAAAATTGACGACGTCATCTCAAAATTGTACCGAAAATTTCCCATCGAAAGTGTGCAAAATACGATGAATCTGTACTTGTGATTTATCATTGTTTTCTTTTTTTGAATGGTTTATACAGGGTGACTCAAAAAAATGAATGAATGAGTCAATTTATTTTAGGGATTAAATCAGGAACTGCAAAATCGATTGTTTTGAAATCTTGCGGACGTTTCAATTTTATCGCAAGCATGGTAAGTTTTAATACAAATATATCTGTTTACCCACTTTACGCACCTTATTTAAGTTTGCCATTGAAAAAACTATTAAATCTGTTGTATCACAGATATTTCGAAAAACTCTTGGGATGGGTAAAGCTTGTCAAATATACCGGGTTTGGAGTTGGAGTTGGATTTGTACATATACAGGTGGGTCACCAAGCGCGCGGTCCTCGGTGTCTCATTAATTATTACAACTGAATTACTGAAGCCGAAAGTTGTACGATTCTTTAAGAACTATACTCTAAAATTATTTTGAAGTAGACAGAGTGTCTAATAAACAGAATATTTCTAAAAAAATCTACAATTTCCAAGGATCGATATTTCAATTTTTTATCGTTTGTTTTCATTCTTCAAATATGTCGATGTGTTCCTTAAAAAAGAAAAACATTGCTGCAACTACCCACTCTAAACATAAAAAATACTAAAAGTAAAATTGAGTCTTATTCATGCAAAGTGTTTGTAAATATTGATTTTTTTTGTCAAATATTTTCTATATTTAAAGTTAATAGTCTTGCGATTTTTTCCTTTTTAACACGAACCTCTATAAGTTGAAAAAAAACATATATATGTAATGTTAAAGTAAATGTAAAGAAGCATGCTACGCATATGTTTCAAATGAGTTTTTACTTTACAAAAATTTATGATGACATCATCAACATTTTGCAAGGACACATATACCTATCAACTTGGAAAATGGAGTGTAATACTAATAACAACAGTTTCATATTCCTCAGTTTTGGGGAAAATGCAGTGAGTCGTTCGTGATTTAATCATTAAAATAAATTGACATATTCATAAATTTTTTTGTCAGCTGTATAAGCAATTTACTCACAAATTATATAGCTGTTCCAAATGTGTATTCGAATAAAATAATATTGTTGATTTTCCCGTTTTTAAATTAATTTAATTTCCTACTATAGATATTTTATACATTGATCCGTGAGATCTACTCTACATTTGGTTTTGTAAAATTGCTGCGGTTAAAATATCGCTAGTGGCTTAGTAGACTTAGTAATAGTCACTGTATGCTCTTAGATGAGGTTTCATTAACATGTTAATGTGAAAGAATAAGTATGTACAAAGGATTCAAAGACGTGTTTTGTTTGAAGACATCTCTAAATATTCGTTTTAACAAATTAAACAATTCTTGCTTGTGTCAAAAATGTATATAGACATTCCCGATGAGTCTACAGTTATTAGAAAGCAGTGTATTTTTCGACAGTATGTTGAAAATTATTATATGTGGTATATATGTAATGTTGAATAATTTATGAAATTTTTAACAACACTTCTGTTAAAGTGTTAAAGTCTAGAATCCAAAAAATATCAATTCTTATATTTGATGCTCCAACTGTCATTAGGTTCTGCACATATAATTTTTAAATTAATTAGAGGAGAATCCCAAGACATAGAAATTTTCGATTTCGACCGTTCAGTTCCAGTTAAAATAAATTAAGACCGAAAGATATTTTCAGAGGAAAACTTAAAAAAAAATATACTATGAATTTATAAGCACTAGAAACATGAGTGTACCACCGATCGATATGCTGCTAGAGACTACATTCCGCTGCATTGACCTCAATGAACATAAAATAATCCCATACTTTTATTTAACTTCTCACCTATCTTTTATGACTTTCTGCGTTACAAAGCAAAAAAAGGAATAACCACACTACTGTATACTGCATACAATCTATCAACATTTCTTTCAAGTTGGTAAACAATAACTAGAGGAGGTACCCGCATGATGTAATGATAGTCTTACGATTTATAAAACTAGAAGAAGAAATACTTGGAATTGTTGTAAGTGGAACTACCACAATCTAAAAAAATTAACTTGAATTGAAAATTGAAACGGATTAGCTTTACAGGACGCTATATTTTCGCAAATTTTTGTTTGGATATACTGGTCTAGTTTTAAAACAATTGGTTAAAGCTCTCCGAGTGATTTATGATTACATTCTATCACTGCTTTAATGCCACAAAAAAATCCGCGGCCTCTTCAATGTGAACCAAATATTCTATGTTAAAAACCACTTAGATGGTTTATAAGAACACAGATACCATATTTCAAAATCTGGAAAAGAAAGCAAAATTGCTTGAAAGGGAACATATTGAACACTTTCTAAAGGAAACACCCAACGTGCACTATTTAATAATGAAGGAAAGTAGGTTGGTTTTCCATTTGAGGCTGAAATTTAATGTTCTATATTAAGGTTGCCTTAGCTATTCGAGTATCAGGTAATGAATTATCATATCTGAGTGTCAATAACGTACAAGATAAAGGATCCTATATCCTGATATTTGATAAAGTAAGATACGAAACGAATATTTCACGTAGTTCTAGGATTGTGGAAGGATTTTCTCTTAACGGGCCAGAAATCTGTAGGAAATATGTCTTTACAAACTAAAAATACTATGAATAGCCTCACTTGCTAGAAATCATCGCCTGTGGCACACGGCTACATTGAAGAATCAGTTTCAAGTAAGACTGATATGACCACAGAGATCTTGATTATAAATTCACGAATAAAAGGGAATACCTTGGTAAATATAGATACCGAGAAGAGAAAATTTAATGAATGGGGAAATGGCATTGAGAAATAAGTAAAAATCATTGAAACAAAGTTATGTATTTTACCATAAAGTGATTTCTTTTGAGATTGTTGCTTCATTATACATATACGTAAGTCTTAGATGTTCAGTAAATTCCTTCTAAACTGATTTTCATGATTTTACTTCCACTAGTGTTTTTTGGGTTTGTTATAGGACACTGGTATTTTATGAACCCCACAATGCAATGAAAATCAGTATTATTATAACTTCATAAGAAAGATGTGTTGGACAAAATAATAAAATTTGCGTAGCAACAGCTTCCCGAGTAACTGTAACAATATTATAAGCTACCTTGTTAAATTACATTTTGTGTTACATAGTAGTTAAAGTTACCTCCCTCGTGAAACTTAGCAATTAACATAACGCTGTTTTGTGGAATAACGATCTCAAATAGCATTTGCTTTTTTTGCAAATCACGTTTCTGGTTACGCCACTGTGAAACTAAGTAGATTTGAAGATATCATTTTGCTCCATTTTAGATTTGCTATTGGAATCGAGATACCGTATCTCCTCCAACTCATCAGCTGTTTTTAGAATTAGAACCCTCGTGCCCCTTTCCACACCAAGCAAAAAAGGGAAATGTCAAAGCTGTGACATTTAAGATAGTTAACTTAAATGGAAACGTTATAAGTGGGTAGTCGGCGGTCCTGATATACGAGAAATGCTTTCAAGCCGCCCCTGAGTCTGCGCCGCCTCCAATCTCGATCTCACGAGGCCTCCACAATGTGACGGTTTCATTCCGACATTTCGCACGCTTTCACGCAACATATACGCGAAAATAAGGTACTTTGTAAGGTATCGTTCTGTTGTTTGTGCCGTGCTCACGTGATCTATTATTAACAATGATCCGGGAATCCGGATAAAATGGAATTGTTACCTAACCACAAACTGAATTCAGACAGTATTTGTACCTGATTGTAAAGTGTGGCTTAGATTAGACTGATATGGAATAATTAGGGCCTAGCTGTACAGGTAGGTCTGTTGTTATTTTAAACTGGACGTTCGTGTTTGGTGTAAATGTTAATAACTAATGAGGGCAGTTTGTTGTGTGGTTGGAGTGTGATAACTATCTCGTTTTAACATACCACACCTCTTTATAGTACCTTATTAAATTTATTTTAAATGCTTTTATTTTCATATTTACAGAATATATATATTTTTTAATATTTGTAAATTTCGAATAAATAATAAGCACGTTTCCTAGTCTGAATCATATGCTGTTGAGATTTATTGTTTACTTTTAACAATATTTTATAGTTAACTTCCATAAAGTACTTACGTGTATAAATGTACAGTCTTAATTGTACATTAATATCATAAGGGAGTTAATTTAGTCTAAGATTATATTAATTTACAGTTATCTGTATCCAAACGTATGAACCAGCTTCAAAAGGTAACGGGTTGTATGGAGGTATAAACTTGATCTTAATTACAATTTGCAGTTTGCGCTTTTGTATAAAGTGTAATGTTTCTAATTTGGGATACAGTTCAATAATGAAATTTCTGTAGTAGCTAATTTAAAAAATTATACTTTCCGTCACGGGTGTTGCGTAAAGAGTTTTTGTTTTATAAAATTACTCCACTTTTCGTGGATCCAGACTGGTTTAAGAGTTTTTACCTATAATAAAAGAAGAGATAAAATTGTATCCATATTATTTCATTTTATCTACCAATAACTTGTAAAATCCTTCTTTTCCTACTTTGCCTCAATAATGTTTTCATTATGAAACGCATATGCGTTTCACAATAATAACATTTAATTTTTTATAGCATGTAAAACAGTAATTTTTGCCTTGATTATGTTGGCAAAGTTATTATGCGGCCAGTCGAAATCGAAAGGTGGTCGAAAGCTGAAACCAAATGTCAGTGAACATTGTTGACAATAATTAGCCTAATTGAATATTTCCGTCTATTTGCTCCCTTTTCTGTTAAATGATCAAGAAAATGTTGATTTTGTTGCCAACCGACTTTCAAAAATTGAAAATAATTTATTTACAATGCAAAGTAGAAAAAATAGTACATTACACTCATAAGACGACTTCTGGCACTCATTAAATTCTATTTGGCCACTCCTCGCTGCGCTCGTCGTTGTCAAAACTCATTCATGCTATAATAATCGCCTTCTAAAATACGCGTAATACTTAATGTACTTATTATAAATTAATAAATTTTAAGAGACTCCTTAGAAATATCAGATCTTTACAATTTTGATTTTTGTCTCTTACCGTGTGGTCGTGGAAGTAATTTTCAACGTTTCTGTTGTAAATATAAAATATTCTTAAAATTGCTAACAGGTATGTATAGGTAGGCCAATTTTTTATAGTCATTAACAAGTGTGGATGTAGTGCCGGGTTTTTCGTGGAGGCAGGGAGCTTCGCGCTCTGCGCCCTTAGTGGAATTTCTTGCTCCGTGGATCATTTAGTTATTGGAATTTGTACGAATGAAATAAGTTGTTAAAGCAAAAAATCAAAATTCATTTTTACATAAGTACAGTCAGTATTAGACAGGATTTATTTGTCAAAATTTCTAGATGACGTCATCGATTTTGATTAAAAATTTACCATGCATGTGACAACTTTAAAACGTCTGCAAGATTTCAAAGCATTCGGTTTTGCAGTTTCTGATTTAATCAATAAAATAAATTGACTCATTTATTATTAATCTTTGACCAGAATTCCAGTGCGGAGTTTGTCTCAAGTGTCTATTGACTTTCACGCATTTTTATGAGGGCTTAAGCACCCACCGTTGTAAACTTCTCTACTTACGCTGACCTTTGTCTTGGGGCATACAGGACCGTAGTTGAATTTCACAATTTCACGTGCAGTGCAATCGAAACATAAAGAATACACACTTAGCTACATACTAATTTACCAAATTTCTATCATTTTGTAACAACTAACGAAACAATATTTCAGAATTACATAAACACTCGTATCGTTATAAAATCAAAAGTCACTATCATCAATATCACTACTATCGGCATCCAAATTAATAAGTAATTCCGGTTTTAGTCGATCTCTATAAAATGTTTCTTCTTCAATCACATAACGCACACAGACCAACTAGCCGGTGTTATGTTGAAATCCTCTTTCCTGATAACATTTACTGGGTTTGCAGTGAACTTCGGTGCAATATTATTTCGTCTTATGTGAGCTTTCAGTTCCGACCAAATTAGCTCAATCGGATTAAAAACGCAATGATATGGAGGTAATCGTAATATCCGGTGCCCTTGCTCTTCAGATATGCAGTCAATTCTGAATGTTTTATTATGGTCCTTGGTTCTTAACACTTCAAGTAGTTGTTTTTTTGTATAAGATTCTTGATCTTCCATAAGAAAGTTTTTTATTTCTTCCTTACTTGAAGACGTATTTGGGATTTTTTGCCTCTGTGCTAAATGATATGATGCGTTATCTAATACAATTTGGTGACAATTTTTTCATATTTGTAGCAGATAAGAACAGCGCATCGTCTACCCTGTCATTTAGGATCCCGCGTGTAATATTAATAATTCTTTTCCCATATGAGAGCGGTACATCCAATACACACTTGTTACTTTTATCCCATCATCCTATTTTTACAGTGTCATGTGATCATGTCTGTCATACCATGTCTCGTCAAGATAAATTATTGGCTCACGGCTCACTTCATCACGAAATTTTTGAATTTGCATAATAATTTTTGCACCTTTTGGAAATACGTCTCGATTTCATTAATAGTTGCCTCTTGTTAAGTTTTCTGAAACGAAAATCTATTTTTAACAAAACCTGTCTCATACTTTCTTTACAGCAAGTTATTTGTAAGTGTCCTCACTTTTCTATATAGTCGTTCAATTGTCAAAACACTATTACGTTTAGGTTATGGCTATTACGTCTTATCAAATCCGCATCCTGATCTTTAAATACTGTTGATAAACCACTATCTTTTCTCACTTTTGTAACGTCAGTGCCAATTGAAACCATTTTTCTTACAGTTGATTCTGACATTTTGGGCATTCGACTTGTTTTTGCAATAGCTGCATTCTTGATATATTCGTAAACATTCAGAATAATGCAAAATGTTATAAAATTTAGATTTTTACTTCCCGAGCGTAAGCAAAAGAAGTATTGTAATCGAGTCTGTCGGCCGACTCTTTACTTTTACGCTTTCTCGATCTTTCATGACCCCTAGGAGGCGAAGAAATAGGTCTGCCATTTCCGTCTGTCTGTCCGTCTGTCTGCCGTCCCGGATTTTTATTAGACAGATAATCTCCGAAAGTACTGGACCGATTGTTGTGAAATTTCGTAGTTATATTAGGAATATCATGTGGATGGTAAAACGCTAACCAAAATTTGTCTAATCATCCCCACCACTAATGCAATGACGTCACTTCAAAATTGTACATAGTAAATGGGTTTTAAATTGTATAAAATAATATAGTCATATACATGTAGTTTACGATTCCGAATTGAGTTTTTACCCGAAACGTCCAGATGTTTGGAAAAAAATATAAAAATTATAAAACAACATTTTGCAATTTAATTTTGAATCTGCTAACCTTCGGGTTACCTTTGAAATGTTGCAGATGTTTTAAGGCTATAAAGAGCATCATAAATCTTTAGTCAAAATATATTTGGTTATCCCCTCCAAAAACTTGATGACGTCAGCTCAAAAGTTTGCCGAATAAATCCTATCTAAAATGTACAAAATATGATGAATCTGTACTTGTGATCTATCACTCCATTCATATTTTGGAATTTGCATATATAGGGTGACTCAAAAAAATTTATGAATGCGTAAATTTATTTTACTGATTTACTCAGGAACTACAAAACCGAATGCTTTGAAATCTTGGAGATGTTTTAAAATTATCATAAGCATGGTGAATTTTTGATCAAAATGCATTTGGTCGTCCCCCCTAAAAAATTTATGACGTCACCACAAAATTTTGCTTAATAAATCCTATCTAAGACGTACAAAATATGGTGAGTCTCTTCTTGTGATTTATCATTCCATTCAAATTTTTTCGATTTGCATATACAGGGTGACTCAAAAAAATTAATGAATGCGTGAATTTATCTTATTGATTTACTCAGGAACTACAAAACCGAATGCTTTGAAATCTTGAAGATGTTGTAAAGTTATCGTAAGCATGGTAAGTTTTTGATCAAAATGTATTTGCTCATCCCCCCTAAAAAATGTATGACGTCACCACAAGATTTTGCTGAATAAATGCTATCTAAAATGTACAAAATATCACGAGTCTCTTCTTGCGATTTATCATTCCATTCATATTTTTTGGATTTGCATATACAGTGTAACCCAAAAAATTAATGAATGCGTACATTTATTTTATTGATTTAATCATGAACTACAGAACCGAATGTTTTGAAATCTTGCAGATGTTTTAAGGATTTAAATAACGTAATAAATTTTTAGTCAAAATATATTTGCGTATCGGCTCCAAAAACTGATGACCTCAGCTCTAAAGTTTGCCGAATAAATCCTATCTAAAATGTGTAAAATATGACGAATCTTGTAATTTATCATTACACTGAGTGACTCAAAAAAATTAATGAATGCGTAAATTTATTTTATTGATTTACTCAGGAACTACAAAACCGAGTGCTTTGAAATCTACTGTGAAAAAAAGATAATATGCATGCAGTCGTCACGTTTCCGACAGCGAGGGAAGTACTGTCTAAACTCTTTAGACCAATTTTTTTACCAAAAATCTAGATGTCTCGAGTTTTTACTCAACAACTGTCTGTTAGGACATTCTTATTCCTAGAGAAGGATCTCTCAACAGCACACGATGTTAAAAGAGAATATTTAAAATTAGAAATTTCAGTGAGTTTTATTTTTAAATCTTTTTCTATATTTTCGCCTTGTAATACTTTTCTGGCAAGCTTAAGGTATTTTTTTTGAAAGGATCTTGCATCTTATTTTTAAATGCCATTTTACCTACTCTCCCCGGGGTATCCTCCAACTGACCA